GCCAAGCCTTCCTGTTTCTCTTGCTACAGCATTTATCCCATACAAAATTAAGTGATTAGAAACTTCAGTGGCTGTTTCTCTGGCTAAAATAACTTTGAAATAGCCAGATGCATAGCTTAAGTTAATGCTACTGTCTCTCCTCTTGCTCTTCCCTCTGCTACTTTCCGTTCTGTGAGAATGTGTTTGTTTACATAGATAAGCAACATGCAATGGGACTTACTGTGATAATACTACGCAAAGTATCAGATTTCCTTTTTTTTAAGGATTTATCTTTTTTTTTTTTTTGGTTTGGTTTTTAATTGGAAAGGTAGATATATAGAGAAAAGGAGATAGAGAGAAAGAATTTCTGTCTACTGGTTCACTCCCCAAGTGACTGCAATGGCCACGGCTGAGCCAATCCCAAACCAGCAGCCAGGAGCCATTAGCTTCCTCCAGGTCTCCCAAGCAAGTGCAGGGTTCCCAAGGCTTTGGGCCATCCTCGACTGCTTTCCCAGGCCACAAACAGGGAGCTGGGTGGGAAGTGGAGCAGCCGGGATATGAACGAGCACCCATATGGGATCCTGGCAGATGTAAAGCAAGGATATAGCTACCAGGCTACTGTGCTAGGCCTGTATCACATTTCTTATAGCTCCCTTCATTGGGATTGATTTTGTCAATAAGCCGGAGGAGTTTGCCTTCCTACATGGGAGCCAGGGGCCCAAGTGCTGGAGCCACCACCTGCTGCCGTCCAGGATGAATTAGCAAGAAGCTGGATTGGAAGTGAGTAGCTGGGACACTAACCAGCACTGAGGTATGGGAGGAGGTCACCGTTGTCTTCTACAACGCCAGCCCAGGACATTTTTCTGTGGTATTCTCGGTGGGTCTTTCAGAGATAACAATCAAAAATTGTCACTTCAGTTTCTGTGCCAGAAATGCGAATACAATGAAAGGCAGATGCGTGCACAGTATAGATCCTTGTTTTCAAGTTTAGACTCCTGAGGTTTCAAATATCAACACGGGAGGGAAAGTCGATATAATGGCTTTTTGCGCATATATTTTGTCAATCATTTTATGACATTACTTAGAGAAAGCATATTACTTAGTACATTATTTACGAATTTATTGCTTGTAATAAATTTATTACTTCTAATAAATAATAAATATATATTACTAAGTACTAATGCAAAAGCAAATCTGATTTTTTTTTGGTTACTCTTGTTACAGGTTGGTTATGTAATTACTTTAGAAGGAAAGCAGTATTTTATCCATGTCAAAAAACAGTAAGTTATTATTTGGTCATTTAAAATCTCAATTCTTTGGTTTGTTGACTTGTTAAAACATCTGCTAGTGGAATAATTGCAACTGAAAAGTGCCATTCCCTCCTACATATCAGTCAAAATATTAGACACATAAAATAGAATCAACCATAGTGCATGGTTAAAGAATTTATAATAGAAGAAGACACATTTAAATATAATACTAAAGAAACAGAATTTTGTGATATTTAGGAATTTCAAATACTTTAGTCGTTGCTCAAAAAATACATCCATCACAGTGTAATAAACAGAAGCATATTTTTGAGAGAAAGGGGTGGTTTGTTTTTGTAAGATTTTGGGGTGGGCTTTTCCTCCCCACTGCAACATGAAGACAAGAATTTGAACTCCTGAGGAGGCTGAGTAGGTATGTAAGGGCATAGATTTAGTAGTAAGCTGTACTAAAAAAAATTAAAACAAAACAAACAAAAACAACAACCCCCCCCACATATATAGGATTTTTATAAATAACTCATTGCCTGAAGTCTGAAACTTGGAAAAAGGCCTGTGTTTAGAATCTTTTTACATCTGTCATCTATTTATCAATTTCTTTTTGACATATCTAGCAAGTTAGGGTGTTTGATTAATTTGAATTTTTGTTATTGTGCAAAACTCTAGCTAAAATGCCCATCTTGGAGCCTTACATAATTGACATGAAAGTTTTCAGATGATAGGATATACCAAGTAGATGGGTACCACGTTAAATTCCTTAGTAGAAACAAGAATTGTATGTAAATAATATCGTTTCCGATTTCTAAATTTCTTCTGAGCATGTTCTTGTGATTTTTGCCTAGATCATTTTTATCTCCAACAGCGGTTACTCATTATTATGACAAATATGATGAAGAACTTCATACACCTTTGATAACTCAGGTACAACTTAGCTTTTTAACAGAGTTCTTCTGCAATGAATAATATAAAATATTTTGCTAATTTTTACAAAATCACTTGACACATTAATTGGAATTTAATGCCCTGGACAAGGGCTTATTTCTCCATGAAACAAACTCATTGGATAATTGTAAGTCATATCGAAGTATTTAGGTTACTAAAGTAATAGCTGTTAATAACTTGTGGGATTTCTTTTTTGAAAGAAATTATCCATTTGTTTTTTTATTTGTGAATTATTTTTTTTTTCAGATGGATTGCAATTATAATGGATATGTTTCGGGTTTCCCAAATTCTCTTGTGACACTCAACATTTGTTCGGGACTCAGGTTGTAGACTATTTAGAGACATTCATCCTGGCGATATTATATCCTGCTAATGTATGAATTACTCCTTGACATGTCTTTGCCACTTCTACACTCAGTTTTGTTACTTCGGTTCCATAAGGAATGAGTCAGAGGAGCCTTGAGTTAGAGTTGTGCCCCCTAGACCCGAGAGAGTGCTCCTGGTACTGACAGAGGCTGCTCTTGGAGATGTTGAGCAACCTTGAGTGTAAAGGGTATTGAATGGCCTCTCAGTACTTTTCTAGGTTTTAAAAATCCTGTTTCTTATTTCGTGATATGTAGAATATTGGAAACTGCACAATGCCAGAGAATGATAAACATTGTGGCTATGTACTTAGTCATTTTCGTGCATGAAGCATCTTCATTTCAGCCCACACACAAAAATTACTTAAGCATCAGAACAGAGTTAGGTATATCAATGAGAAGGGACGTAGGAATATGAAAAGCATACGTAGAATGACGTAGAATATCTGGATATTGGGAATGGGGCTTAGCATATTTAAGCCCAGATCTACGATTTCTTTAAAATGATAAAAAGGAGGAGATATTTGGTCCAGCAGGTAAGATGCCTAGGCCCCCACGTTAGAGTACCTGGTTTTGAGTTTGGCTCCAACTCTTGACTTTGACTTTAGCCTGAGGGACAGCAATTTGGTCTCAAGTCATTGGGTTGCTGCCATCCACATGGGAGACCTTGATTAAATTCCTGGTTCCTGGCTTCAGCTAGGAAGAGCTCCGAACCATTCCACTGATTGATCTGGGAGATGATCAACGATGGGTGCTTCCTCTTCTGCGTGTCTGTGTAAACAGCTGGTTTTCTCTGTGTCACAGGAGACCACAGTCATAGATTCATAATATAAAACAATATCCGTACTCTTTTATCGTGGTATGCTTCTGCTGCAGGACACGAATAAGCAATGCAATAAAGTAAAAAAAAAAATAGGGTGCTTTTGAATATTTAAAAAAATCTAGCAAAAATGTCTTTTTAGAAATATTTGATTCTAATTTTGGTAGAATCATTTCAGACTTAAAAATATTTCTACATTCAGGGGCTTAATTCAGTTTAAGAATATTTCATATGGAATTGAACCAATGGAGGCCCTATCAGGATTTGTACACCTGATTTATGAAGAAAAAACGGATGAAAGCATTATTCGTCTATTTGAAAATGACATGAATAATTTGCTTTATGACTCCAAGAATGCAATCAGAAAATATCCAGAAGTAAGTGTTGTTTTCTTATCTTACTTCCTTCAATACGCTTTTTGTAAGTAAAACTATGTTTTTCAGAGCCAAGTTTGATTGGTGACCTGCAAATCTTAAAATTATCTTACTTTTCCCACAAGACTCTACTACTTTGAAAATGGCTGTGGAATTCTCTTATGTTTATTATTGTGCCTGATATTAGATGAAAGTTTAGGAAAGATTTAGGTAGTTAATCTTGGACACAAGAAGATGTAAATGCAAGATGGAAAGAAACTACACCATTTTCAAATGAATTTTAAAGATTTATTATTTTTTTTTTATTGGAAAGGCAGATCGGATTTACAGAGAAAAGGAGAAACAGACAGATTGTTATTCTGCTGGCTCACTCCACAAATGGCCACCATGGCCAGAGCTGAGCCAATGCAGCCAGGAGCCTCTTCTAGGTTTCTCATGCGAATACAGGGTCCTGTACTTCTTTCCCAGGCCTTAAGCAGGGAACTGGATAGGAAGTGGAGCAGCTGGGATACCAAACAGTGCCCATATGAGATCCCAATTCTTGCAAGGTGACGATTTAGCCATTGAGCCATCATGCCAGGACCACAAAAGTTTTTACATTGAAAGTGAAACTTTTTTTTCCTTCAGTCAGACAAATAAAAATATTAAGTGATCTGAATCTATTAAAGTTTTTGTCTTAAGAGCATTCAAAATGTATAATTTCAGTAGCTTATACAAGGTACAAGGAAAGCAAACTGATAATATATTCCTCTACAAAATTTTGCAAAATCTTATCAAACCTGTCTGTATTACACCACCATTTTTGTAAATAATATTAGTGTTTTACTAAGTTATGTTATTTGACAGAAGTAGGAAGTGGGAAATCAGCCCCTTTGTGTGATTCATATGAAATTTTCAGTAGGCTAAGAAAAGTAAATATTTGCTCTGTAAACATGTGATGTTCAATTTCAGTTATTGCAAAAATGAAAGAAACATGAGTTCTTATAAACCTTTGAAAGTGTAGTTCAAAATTCATCCTACTCAGAGTAGAGAGCACTTTTTGAACTGTGATATTCAAAACAACATCTACATTTTGCACTTGGAAATAACCTTGCTATATATGACCAGTAGCAACACCACTTTGAGTACAATTTTGACACTCAATCTTTGGACTATAATTTTAGTAGAAAGGTAATTTTTCATGAATTCCTTAAAACCTCTTATGTGTCTTTTGCAGAGAACTGACTTTTCTAAGTTATTCCAACGAAACATTGAAATATACGTTGTTGTGGATAAAAATCTGGTATGTTTTATTTTTTTGTATCATTGCTTTTTTTTTCTGTTTTTATTATTATATTTTGACAATCTTTACATAGTTAATTAGGGTAAAAAGGTTCAAGGGCTACAGGAAAGTGGGTGAGACTATTATTTTTTCCATATTGTTTCCTTCATGTTTAAAGGGGGTATTAAGGGAGAAGGCCCATCCAATTTCCCACCCTCCCCAGGTCCCGGATGTAGGGTATGCTCTGAGGTTCTTGCTCAGGTGGTTTGATATTTCAACAGTTATGAATCGCTGCCAGTCTTGCCACTCCAAGCACTATGAGGTCTTTGAAGAATCCACTGGTTGACATAGTCCATCATAGAGTCTCTGTTTGCCCCGTATTTCACTGCTAAGATATAGCTGAGATGGTTGGTTGACCTGTTCTGTCTTCTGTCTTTTCTTGGTTTGGGTTCTGAGTCCAGCGTTTTGATTGGGGAGATCTCCAAGGAAACTGTCTGAGGTGTTCTCAAACCAGATTCTTGTATGTGCTAGCAAGTACAGGGCCTGGCACAGTCCATCGCCCCGATCAGCTGGTGTTTGCAATTGCTGGGTTGGTTCTGTTTTCACTCCTGACTTCCACTGGAACCAATGAGTGTTGCAGTCCAGCCTGGTTCTGCCCAGCACATACTCGGCCCTCGCATAAACCAGTGGGAGCTTATTTTCTTTTTAATATTATTTACATAATTGAGAGGGATGCACACCCACGTGGGTCTCTAACTAGGGTGGGGAGGATCAGATGTGGTGGAAGGTAGGTGGACACATAGTTTTGTTCTTTTTTGTCCTCGTGTGCCCACTGGCAGGGGGAAGGAGGGCTGCTTCTTGCTGTCGTCAGCACCCGGAGATGGAGGATGATCCTTTGATGATGTCTTAGATACCCCAATGTGGGGAAGAGCCTTCTAAAAGTTTTGCTTGGGTGGTTTCGTTGTTTCCAGGTTGAGAAGAGCTTTCCAATTGTTGTCAAGTATTTGTCAATTATTGGTTGACCAAGCCCACCTTAGTGAATTCACAGACTCAGGATCATGCTGCAAAGTTTGACCAGGAAAATTGTCCAGCCTGTTCTGCTTTCCATTCTCTGATGAGGCAGTCAATATCCCTTGTTGGCCTAGATGACCTGGCTGTCATGTCTCCACATGCCATCTGTGCATGCTGTTCTCTACACACAGGCATCAGCAACTTGGGAGATAGAGTCCTGACACGTGTACTCCAAGGTCAAACAACACATCCTGTTGGTTTTTTTTTTTTTTTTTTTTTTGCTGGGATCAGGATTTGAGTCCAGTGGTCCAGTTGGAGAGTCTCCCAAGAAACTTATATGGAGTGAACTCAGGCGCTAGCCAGTGCAAGGTCCAGTTCAGTCTTTCACCTGCACAGCCAACTCACTTTCCAGTAGATGCAGCTGTCTGATTAGTTATCTGCCAGTCCCACACTTCATGTGAACAGATGGCTGCTGTGCCCCAGCCAGCTAGCCTGCCACACGGTCTAGTCCTGGCACATACGGACAGATGCGATGGCTGGTTGGGGCCAGGCTACGTTGGCATTCCTGTAAGTTAGTATCATATCTGTGAGCTCGCAATCCACAAGGAAACAAGCCATTGTAAGCAATGTTCTAGCAAAACTAAAACTAATAGATTGAAATTGAAAACACAAATAGGTATTCAATAACAGAAAGAAAAAACCCTTGCACCCCAAGGGAATTTGTTGATTCTGTAAGACTATGGGGTAGGAAAGCTGAGCCAGTTGTTGGCAGGAGTAATGAAAACAAAGCTCCATGACTTCCTGACAAGCTGGGCATTGTAACTTAAGCTGATCTTGTACAATGGCAACATATACCCTGAGATCACACACCCCGACAATGGTGTTGGTACAGTTCATCGTGCAATTTGTTAGGGAATTTTCTCTTTGGAAACATGGCCTGCTGCTAGAAAAATCATCCCATTTCTCTTAATTGTTTTCTGATGTGTGTGTGTTTGTTTCAGTGGTTACAATGTCTAATGATATGTAGCAAAATGATAGGTGGATGATTTGGCTCAGAGATTCAGCACTGAATCCTAATTTTGCCCATTATAAATGTATAATATTGTTATTGTAGTTATAAATTCCCCTGTAACATTAACCTTGTCATCTTTCTAAAAGATTTATTTGAAAGAGTAACAGAGAGAGAACTATCCAATGGTTCACTCCCCAGAAGACCACAACAGTCAAGGCTGGGCTAGGCTGAAACCTGGAGTCAGGGGCTTCATCTGGGTTTCATGTGAGTGGCAGGGCCCCAACACTTAAGCTATAGTCTATTGCTTTCTTGAGCGCATTAGCAGGGCCTGGACCAGGAGTGGTGCAGCCAGAACATGAACTGGAACCCACTGAGTCACAGCCAGGGTAAACATATCTGTTTCCTGGAATATTTAATGTTTGTTTTGTGTGAAGGCATTATAGTCTTTTCTTCTAATTAAGTGATAACTTCTTACTCCTCTCTAACTTTAACTTAAAACACATTAATCAACGTTGCTTGATATGCTTCCCAACCTAGCCATTTTGAAGTTGCATTAATTACATGCAAGAGTCAGATGTATACAGAGAGGAGACAGAGAGGAAGATCTTCCATCAGATGGTCAATTCCCCAAGTGACCGCAAGAGCTGGAACTGAGTCCATCCGAAGCTAGGAGTCAGGAGCTCCTTCTGGGTCTGCCACATGGATGCAGGTCCCAAGGCTTTGGGCCGTCCTCAACTGCTTTCCCAGGCCACAAGCAGGGAGCTGGAAGGGAAGCGGGGCTGCCGGGATTAGATACAGCACCCAATGGGATCCTGGTGCATTCAAGGTGAGGACTTTGGCCACTAGGCCACTGCGCCAAGCCCAAGGATTTCAATTTTTCTGTACCAAAATAAACATCTTTTAGTTCCACATACCATAAGCTTTTTGAGGTACTTTTATATAAAACAAAATTTCCAGAACTTAAAAACAAATATATTTGTTTGTAATCATATTGATATGGTATAACCTTGTTATATCAGGTAAAGAAAATAAAAGTAATATAATAAATTTGAGCAGCACAATGAGAAAATATGGCTGTACAGAAGAAAAATAGCACATTATATATTTGATGAGAATCAGTAAGTAGCAGATCCCAGAATTAACCAAAGATTATGGCAGCAAATAGCAAAATACTGAAATTGTGCATATTGTATATTGCTTTACTTCAGTCACTTTATGCTGGCAGTGACTATGAATTCTGCCTGGTCTGAAATAGAAAATTCTTAATTAACTCTGGCCTGCTTGGGGCCCGGCACAGTAGCCTAGCGGCTAAGGTCCTCACCTTGAAAATGCCAGGATCCGCTACGGCCGCCAGCTCTAATCCCGGCGGTCCTGCTTCCAATCTATTTCCCTGCTTGTGGCCTAGGAAAGCAGTCGAGGACACCCCAAAGCCTTGGGACCCTGCACCTGTGTGGGAGACCTGGCAGAGGCCCTGGGCTCCTGGCTTCAGATTGGCGCAGTTCCAGCCATTGCAGCCGCTTGGGGAGTAAATCAATGGACAGAATATCTTCCTCTTTATATATCTGACTTTGCAATAAAAATAAATAAATCTTTTAAAAAAGTAAAGTAAATGAGGGTGAAGTATTATTTCCTGGATATTGCTTAGTAATGGAGGTCTTCTTATTATTTTTTTACATTAATCTCCCCTGCCTCTTCCTCACCCTCCCTCCCTCCTCATCTCTGTCTTCTCCCCACCCTTCCTCCTCCCCCACCTTCACCTTTTTCTCCTTCTTTCCCTGGTTTCCGTTTTGCTTGGCATGTCGCAATTGGCTTTTCACATTTTCAGGCTGCTAGCTTCTTCAGAATCCAGTCAGAAATGCTGAGGGGAAAATAGTTTCAATGCACCACCCGAGAGAAGAGTAACGTGAAAGAAAATGCCATTTTAGTATGCAGGGTGACACCGTTTGGAGTCCCAGCTGAGAAGGAGGCAGAAGTTGGCTCCACTGCTTGGGCCTTTGCAGCCATGTGGGAGGCGTGCCTGCAAGCTCCTGGCCTCCACACGGCCCGCGCTGGCCAGCTGGGGAGTGAACCCTCAGATGGCATCTCTCTGTCTCTTTCCCTGTCTCCCTCTCTCTCTGAAACTTACAAACGAATAAAGAAATCTTTAAAAAAATATATACAAGCCATGATGTATCATTTATTACGTTTCACTGGTTGTAATGCCCTAACATGTGTGCCATTAGCTTCGCTTTCATTAGCTTTAATTGTTTTCATCCGCTATGTAATATGGAGCCGTCTTAGCTGTATTAAGTGGTAGGACTAGAATAAAGTCTATACAATATGTATTTTTGGACATGGAAACCTAACTTAACCATAGTTAATAAGGATTATTTTTTTTCTTTGAAGCATATCATTTTTGGACTGGGGCTCTATTTATTAAAAATAAGTATACATGACACTACATTTTGATAATTTAAGATTCAGTTCTCATAAACAGTAATACTATACGTTGAGAATAATTGGACAAAGTGTATTTACTGAACCTTTATGTGCATTATCAGTGTGTTTCATTTGGAACGTAGTATGTTCCACATGGTCAGTGATGGGATATATTGGATGCATGTACTGGCTTTTAAACACAATTTGCTTTTTGCAGTTTGTTTACATGGGCTCTGACACAAAGATCGTAACACAGAAGGTTCTTCAGATAATTGGCCTTGCCAACACTGTAAGTTCTTACAATTTTTGAAATTAATTCTATAAAGACACAGAAAACATTAAGTGATGTATATGAGTTGCCATTCTGCTTAATGCTTTTCGTAACTAAAATATTGCAGTAAACTGATTCCAGTGTAAGCATACTATAGTGTTTATCTAAACGTTTTAAATGTCTTCCTTTTAGATTTTTGCTCCGCTCAAGTTGACTCTTGTAATATCATCAATTGAAATCTGGTCAAATAAGAATAAAATTCCTACGGTAGAGCAACCTCATCTTACTTTATTTCGATTTTTAGAGTGGAGAAAGGACTATCTTAAATATCAGTCACATCATTTTGCATTTTTATTTGCGTAAGTGTCATATGCTGTGTTGTATAACAATGAGTAGCAACACATGACAGCCTTGTATTTATGAAAACTAAAGATTAACGCCATATATACTCAGTTTTTAAAATCTGACAAATACAAAGGGGGTGAGAAAAGCCGCAAGCTGGAGTTCCTGTGCGAGGAGAACTGGTGCAGGGCAGGACAAAGATTATCAAAGAACGTATAAGTCTAATGTTCCAAGTGTGTTTGAAAGTATTAACACTACTGTACTACTAAAGCTGAGTAGGAGTATGTTGTATTTTATCTCTTCCTGCCACCAGAAAGACAAATAATAAAAAAAACTACTGAAATAAGCAAGTTTATTTCTTTGCAGTTTTATATTGTCTTGAAAATTTTGAGCTTCGTACTTATATAAAGGGAGCAAAGTGCAAGTATTTCAAATATACAATGTTAAAAGCATAGGGGTACGTTCCAACCTAATTTCCCTCCCTCCCAACTGCCATTCTTCCTGCTTCTTCTCTTAATCTTTTAGTATTCGTAATGATATATTTACAATTTGCTGTCTAATCAAAAGCTTACCCCTCTGCTAAATGAAGAAATTAGCATCATTAATGATTTCATTAATGATTTCATTTGTGTTACAAATTTTATTGTCTATGTTTCTAAATTCATGTCTCTAATTAATTCTAATTAATCCACGTTTTTATTTGCTGAAGACCAAAATTAACAAATTACACTATTATCCGGAACCAATATAGAGAAAAATACAACAATTTTTAGTTCATTAATCAGTAAGAGGATTACAGAAGTGAAAATCTGAGCTGTGTATATAAAAGGGAAACTGAATGTAAATTTCACCAATGAATGTGTTGGAATTTTGAACGATGGTTAAGTGTCATTATTATCATATATCTAGAGGTTTTTCAGATTCATCATTGGCATGTTGAAATATTCTTAAAAATATTTATTTTTCATGGAAAGACAGATTTTACAGAGAGAAGTAGAGACAGAATGATCTTCTGTTTGCTGGTTCACTCCCTAAGTGGCTGCAGCGGCTGGAGCTGAGCTCAGCTGATCCAAAGTGAGGAACGAGGATTTCTTGTGGGTCTCCCACATGGGTGCAGGGTTCCCAGGCTTTGGGCCGTCCTCCACTGTTTTCCCGGGCCACAAGCAGGGAGCTGGAAGGGAAATGGAACAGCTGGGATACGAATCCATGCCCAAAAGGGATCCTGGAGTATGTAAGACAGGAGGACTTTAGCCACTAGGCTACCATGCCAGGTTCTGAAATATTCTGCTAAGAATTTTTTTTATCAACATTAAAATATTGATGTTTTGCATTGACAAATGATATTTAAATAGTTAAGTTAAAAAAAATCATGGTGCTTAGAACACAGTTAATTGTCCTGCTGTATTAACTGGAAGGAAAGTTGTTATTATTAATTATAGAGTTTTACAATGCGCTTATGAGGAAAAATATGATGTTTTTAGACTTGGGAAACAGCATGCCCTTCTAGGAGCCTCGCTTCCAGGGAAAATATGTGACAAGGAATTTGCGGCAGGAGTTGCTCTGGTAGGTCATTTTCAAGTGTTCTCTACATATATTCATGCTTCAACCTTTCTCAAATATTTGAAAGAATAAGCAGAAAAGTAAGTTTACCATTTTCTTTTAGCTTGTCTCTGATTTGCAACAAAGATATTTTGTATTTTTAAAAGTAAATATAGAGCATTTAAAAGTTGATCATGCAATGTGACTTTTATTATTATGAATGTATTTCGTGCATTTCAAAGAAATTATGCTAAGGACACTTGATCTTTCTTGCCCCCCCTTTTTTTTTTCAAATGAAGTGGTTTTAATTTATGTGTAATCTCAGGCATAAGGGAGCTCAACATAGTGTCCAACAAGGAGAAGTAGAGAGATCGCTATTCAACAGTCATACAGCATGGACTGTAAACAGTAATCTGATCATAGCTTGTTGACTTCATAGTTGTACATTCAAGCTTGTTTGCACTCCACAAATAGACACAAATCAGAGAGAGCATGTGATGCTTGTCTTTTTGAGTCTGGTGATTTTCAGTAAGCACAATTCCTGTCACATTTTAAAATATCTATTTTTTTGCATAAGACAGGATTTTATTCTTTTTGAAGGTGAGTAGTATTCCATTGTGTGTATAGGTATATAGCCATCAACTGATGGGCATGTGGGTCAAGTCCACATCTTCATTATTGGGAAATGACCCACTTTAAGCACAGGAGTGCAGACCACACTATGCTGACTTCATTTGGAAGCGGATGTCTGCATGAGAAGGCAGATGGATCTTCTGCCTGAGGAGTCTGCATGCGTGTGTCTTCCATAACCGTCTTACAGTCCTACTCTGTTAGGATCCATTTTTTTCCTTCCCTGTTCACCCTGCATTTGCGGTTTTTGATTTCTGTATGATAGCCGTTCCCAGTGGAGTGAACTCTCACTGTGGTTTTGATGTGCAGATCCCCTTTTTTCTGTTTCTGTGGACGTTTTGAAGTTCATTGTTTGAAAAGTGACTGTTCTTGTCTTTGCTTCTCTCTTGCGGGCATTTTGCTACTGTTGAGTTTTGTGAGGACCTTACACATCCTGGATACTAATCCTCCGCCAGATCCATAGTTAACCAACAGTTTACCCGACTCTGTTACTTGCTTCTTCAAGCAACACACTTTTCTTTTCTGTGCAGACATGTCTCAGCTTGTCAATCTCTCAGCTTTTGTCAGTTTCTGTTGTTGATACCAGAGTTTCTGGAGTCTTATGGGGGAATTCTGTGTCTTATGGTGTTTGCCCTGTTTTTTTTTTTTTTTTTTTTTTGCATAAGTGTCTTTGATCCATCATAAATTGTCTTCTGTATATGGTATTAGGGAGAGTCTTGTTTCATTCCTCTGGATGCCCAGATCCAATTTCCTAGCCTCAATTTTGAAGAGATGGTCCTGTATCAAATGAACTTTTCAGTTCATTTCTTAAAGCTTTGTTGGTTGTAGATGTATGGATTAATTCCTGTGGTTTCAGTATTCTTCTTTTGGTCAATATGTTTATTTTTTTTTTTCTGAAAGTACCAAGTGATTTTGGTTATTACTTCCCTGTGGTATGTTGTAAAATCTTGTGTTTAATGCCTCTAGCTTTGTTCTTTATTTTTGTTTTTATTAAGTGGTTTATCCATTCAATGCCTCTTCTGCTTATATTGTGCATATATATATGTGTGTGTGTGTGTGTGTGTGTGTTGGAATCTTTTTTTCTTTATTTGAGACGTGTGGGTTGTAACGAATGTGTAAGTTACTTTTATTTATTTATTTATTCATTTATGTTAGTTATTTTTAGTTGGCATGGCCATTTTGGTAGTATTGGTTCTTTTAATCTACAAACATGGAGATTTTTTTCCCCCCCAATTTGTTCTGTTTTCTGTTTTTCTCCTTAATGTATTGTTGTTGTTTGCTGTAGATAGCTTTCATATTTTTGGCTAAATTTATCCCAAGGCAATTAATTTTTAATTTTTGTTTTTTACTGTGAGTGAATCTGTTCTTATGAGTCCTTGTTTAATCATGGCGTTGTTTGTGCATACGTAATGCTGCTGAAGTGTATGTTGCTTTTATAACCCGTAGCTTTGCCAAACTCTCTTTGGGGTCCCAGTAGATTCTTGACCTCAGTGAGTTGGTTTCCCTCGCCAGAGGATGATGTCATCTGCCAACAGTGGCTTACACTTTGTACCCTTTGATTGCTTTTGATTGTCGGAAAGATCCAGCTAGAACATCTGGCTGGTGAGAATGGGGACCCCTTTCTGGTTACAGATGTTAGATGGAAGTGCTTCCAGCTCTTCTCCGTGCAAGAGGACGTTGGCTGTGCGGATGTTCCATGTTGTGTTGAGGTCTATCTATATACCCAATTTGCTTAATGTTTTTATCATGAAAGGATGTTGTGTTTTATCGAATACTTTTCCTTCTTCTGTCGCTATATGCGAATGGTTTGTATTTCTCAAACTATTAGAGCTCTGTGACATGATTCTTGATTTTTCCAAGTCGAGCCATTCCTGGGGTATATCTGATGTGGTCTGGCTGGATGATCTTTTGATGTGTTTTTGGTTTTGATTAGCTAATATTTTGCTGGGATTTTTTTTTTTTTTTACCAGTTCTCTTTCTTTTCACATCTCTTTCTTTGCCTTACCTGTTTCTAGTTTTAGAATCCAGGTGATTCCAGCCTCGTGGAAGCAATTTTAGTGGACTAGTTCCCTTTTAATTGTTTTGAATAATTTAAGAATCAAGGTGAGAATTAACATTAGTTTTTTAGATGTTTTGTATAATTCAGCCATGAACCCAATTCGCTCATGAGCTTTTTATTGCTGTTCTTGCTGTTGTTGTTGGGGTGATACTTATTACTGATTTATGCTCCTTCTTGTTTATTGATGTGCATAAATTTGTATATCCTTACATCTCAATTTTGGTGAATTTTATGTTTCCATAAATCAAATCTATCATTTCCTGATAAACAGCTGTTTGTATAATCCTTTATTTCTGTGACATCTGTTGTAACATCTCCTTTTGGGTTTAATTTTACACGTTGTTTTCACAAAAACAAACAAAAAAACCCAGAGCTCTTGCTTTAAGTCATCTTTTGTGTTCTATTAATTTTAGAATTTGTTGTTTTTATTGCATTGTGAGATCACTAATTTTCTGATTTTGCAGTTTATGGATGTACTTCCTAATTGCTATAAATTTTCCTCTTAACACTTTATTTTTGCTACATCCCATACATTTTGATATGCTGTACTGTCACTTCCATTCATTTCTAGGAATTATTTGACATCCCTTTTGATGTCATCCATCACACACTGTTCATTTAGATGAATATTGTTAATGCTGCATGTATTTTAACATTTTGTAGAGTTTCTTTGATCATTAATTTCAAGCTTCATTGCATTGTGGTCAGAAAATATATATATGGCATTCTTTCAGTTTTGTTGAATTGTTTAGAGTTGTTTTATCACCTGATAATGGATGTACCCTAGGTAAAGTTGTAGGCACTGGTGAAAACAATGTGTGATTTCCAACTGTGGGATGAAATGTACCACGTGCATCAGTGAAGTTGACAGTGTTATCCGTTCTGTTGTTGATGTCTTTATGTGCAATTAACTGTACATGGATGGAACTGGCATGCTGAAGCCCCCATTGTTATGATGATGGAACATTTGTGTCCATTTACGTCCTTAAGATTTATTTCAAACACCTGGTTACCCTAGTAGTGGGTGAAATTACATTGAGTGTAGTCACATCTTCATTTTGAATGGAATCCTTAATGATTACCTAAAACCATGTTTGGCTCTTTTAATTGATCCTTTTTGCCTTAAAATGCATTTCATCTTACATTAAGGACTATTTCTGCTCATGTTTGATTTTTCATTGTTGTTTGCAGTTATATTTTTTCATTCTTTCGCTTTCGGTGGGCATGTATCTCTGTTGGTGAGGTGTGTTTCTTGTGGCTAGTCTGTATCTGGTTCTTTTTTTTTTTTTAAGTCATTTGGTAGTACTGTATGCTTCATTGGGATATTTAGTCCATTCATTATGCAGGCAGTCTAATTGGACATTTCTTACTGCTAATCTGCACATTTTAGGGAGTTTTAAACATTTGATTACAACTTCTCATGCTGAAAGTCTTCCCTGATCCTATGCATTTTCTATACTTAGATGTTTTTATGTTTCTGCAAATTAGGGATGTTTTTTCCCCTATTATTTCATTGAATAAGTTTTGTAAGACATATTGTTTTTTTCATTCCTTAAAGAATCAATACTAAGATACATTTGCGTGTTTTCTGGTATCTCATAAATCCAAAATCCTTCTTTGTCTAGTTTTCTCTCTCTTTGTTCTTATTTTTGTATCATTGGAGCATTTCCAAATATTTGTCTTCTGCCTCAGCTATGTGCCTCAGATACGTTTTCTTTTGTTTAATTTCTTCTGTCTCGCTCTTCTTATATGTTTGATGTATTTTCAAATATTTGTCTTTTGCCTCGGATATTATTCTGCTTCATCTGCTTTTAACAGCTCTATACACTCTATAGCATGAACTGGGCTTTCCATAGTTCCATGCTAAGCACTCAGGGTGTTCTGAGCTTTCTAGCATGCAAGTCACGGTGTGCAGTGTTCCCAGAGCCACAGAGGGTCATAGGATCCACTTTCTGTAGTGTAGACCTCTGTGTCCACAGCGTGAGCCTTCCTGTCCCTCCAGCCCACTTGAAGTGGATTGGCCCATGGTTTGCCAAATTTCTCCCATTCTACCAGGTGTGTTTTCAATGTGTTTATTATTCCATTTGCTATGCAGACACTTCAGAGTTCGATGTAATCCCACTTGTGTAGTTTTGCTTTTCTTATCTGACTTTTTGATATATTATCCAAGACATGATCGCTTATTTCGAGTCTTAAAGTGACCTGGTAACTTTTATTTTCTAGCAGATGTGTAGTTTTATGTCTGTTATTTAGGTTTTCAATTAACCTTAAGTGAATTTTTTATATGGTAAGATAAGGGGTCTAACTTTGCTTTTTTTTTTAATGTGACATGTAATACTTTTATTTGTTTATTTTTTCCATATTGTTTCCTTCATGTTTAAAGGGGGGTGTTAAGGAAGAAGACCCAGCAATTTAACTTTGCTTTTAGTCATTGGTGAATCCACTTTTTTTTTTTTATTGTTGCTTACATTGTATTATGTAGTACAGTTTTATAGGCACTGGGGATTCCCCCCACCCCTCCCATACCCCTCCCCCCATGGTGGATTCCTCCACCTTGTTGCATAACCATAGTTCAAGTTCAGTTGAGATTCATTGCTTGCAAACACTTGCCTAGCATAAAGTTCAGCGTCTTATTGTCCAGATAAGTTCAGTGGCCTCTTGGGGAGACCTTCTATGGTCTGAAGATAGGTCTAACACTTTTTCACAAACATTTATCGACAAGATTGTGCTTCATTCAATGTACATGTTGTTTTAGATTTCTTTTAATGTGGAACTTTTAATTACTGCTTCAGTTGCATTACTTCTCTTGGTATTTTAGATTTTCTATTTGTTCTTGTTGAGTTATATGCATACAAAAAATGTGACCCTTTCTTTGAAGTTTTCTAGTATGTTATCACATGTTTGTGCATGGTAGTTTTATATAATTGTTTGTGATCCTTTGTGTATATATGCGTGTATAAATATTCAGCGAGAGAGAGAAATTTATAATTGCTGATTCACACTTGACATGGCTACAAAGCCAGCTGCTAGAAGCTTATTCTGCTTTTTCTTTTTGTTTGTTTTTAAGTGTGTGACAGGGAATAAGTACATTGGAACATCATCTGCTGTACAGGATGCTGATCTCACAGGAAATTGATTTCCTTGCTGCACCACAGTGACGACCACATCGTTAACACATTTTTAAAATTCAATTTTGAATGCTAATTTTTGATCGCAGCAAAATAGTTAATAGCAAATATATTATAATTGATCATTGATATTATTTTCCTTGTTCTTTTCTTTGTATTTAGTATCCAAAGAGGTTTTCCCTGGAATCGTATACTATCATTATCGTGCAGTTGCTTGGAATTAGTTTGGGATTAAATTATGACAGTGATGACAGCTGCTACTGCTCAGGAGATGTTTGCGCAATGATGCCAAAAGCAATGTAAGAACATTTTGTTTATTAAAATTACATATTTATTTTTTAAACTTCATTTACATGCACATGTATTTATGTTTATGTCAAACTGAGATAATTATCAATGAGAGAACAATTTACAAAAATTCATCAATGTCCATATCAAACAGGCCAACAAATGTCTGTGGTTTCTGAATGTCCACGGGCTCTCTTTCCCACTGCTTTGTCCAAAAGCTAGATTCAGAGGCAGACTTCACGATCAGTTCGTACCCATTTTGTGATTGTAGTGAGGAGGTGATATCTATGAACTGAAAACTGCAAAACATTAAAATGCTGAAATAAAAGAAAATATGCCATGCTTATGGATTTGATGAAACAATATCATAAGAATATCTTTACAAACCCAAATCAATTTTCAAGGTTAAAATTCATAAAACTCCAGTTTCATTTTTCAGGGAAACAGGAGAAACATCACTGATAAATTCAGGTATCCAATTCAAAATTGAGAGAAAAAGTACACGAAACAGTAACCTCATACAACCAGGATTCAAAGGATGCTACAGACATATGAGGTTTCTTCCAGTCATTTGGGAAAGTGGAAAAGTAAAACTAAAAGTAAGGCTTACTTTGGGACCAAATGAAAGATCCATGCAAATGAGGGGCTTTCAAAGGTTAAAGGAAAATGCGTGTTATTTTAAAGATATGTGTAAGTTTAAAAAACTTGTTTTCCCTGCTTTTATTATTTCTAATTTATATATTTTTATTTTGAAGTTTTCAATTATGTGGTACAATTTTGTATAGACTGGGATTCCCCCTGAAACTCCCGCCCCACGACAGATTTTCCCCATTTTACTACAATGGTGTAGTCCTTCGTAAGGAATCACAATTCCATCAGTCTCTTATTTAACTGTACCCCAACATTGCTGGTACAGACAATGTCAGACAGTCCAGCAACCCATTGTCTACACATTTCCAACAGTTTCATTGGGAATCCATCTTTCATCTGGAAGCAGGGATGCACGTTGCATTATATCCCTACATCTGGATATGGTGGTTCCCAGTACTCACTCCATCACTATATACATTTCCATGATTGAGAAGTCATGAAACAAGCTCAACACCTGGTATGAGTTAGAACAACTGCAACAACAACAACCATGACAAAAACATTACAGCACCATGAAAAGCACACCACAGAGTAACCAGCACATGGCTGACAAGAGGAAACACAAAAGTCTCTTGGGAAAAATGATGCCACCGTGTAATCCACGAATCAGCAATGAATTATACAAGAGAAAAGAAAGTCTTTGGAATAAATAAAACTGAGATAAAGAATATCAAAACACACGGGATGCTGCCAAAATGAAAACAGAAACAAAACAAAAAGCAAACCAGTATGGATTTAATTATTGAAGTTACTCTTTCCATTCTGATTTTCTTATGTAAGAGAGAACATACGGTATTTGTTCTTCTGTGATTGACTCATTTCACTGAGCATAATGGTCTCTAGTTGAGACCACCTAGTTGTAAATAGTATAATTTCATTCTTAATAGCTGAATAATATTCCATGGAGTAGATGTACAATAGTTTCTTTAACCACTCATTTTTCGATGCACATCTGGATTGTTTCCATGTCTTTGCTATTGTAGACTGTGCTGCTGCAAATACAGGATTACAGATCCCCTTCTCACATGTAGATTTCACTTCTATTGGGTATATTCCTAGGAGTGGGATAGCTGGGTCATATGGCAGGTTCATTTGCAATTCTCCAAGCACTCTCCATACTGATTTCCACAGTGGTTGTACTAGCCCACACTCCCACCAGCAGTGAAGGAGGGTACATTTCTCCCCACATCCATGGCAGCAGGTGTTGTTAGTTGAGTTCTGAGTGTAGGCCAGTCTCACTGGAGGTAGGTGGTAAGTCAACATGGTTTTCATTTGTATCTCTCTGATGGGTAGTGAGCCTGAGCATCTTTTCATATGTCTGCTAGCCATTTGAATCTGTTCTTTTGAAAAATGTTTGTTCATTTCTTTTGTCCATTTTGTTAGTTTTTTTTCCCTGTTCCTGGGTTTCTGAAGCTCTTTGTAAATCCAGGTTATTAGTCCCCTATCACTTGTGTAGTATGCAAAATTTTTCTCCCATTCTGTTGGTTATTTCTTCACTTTGTTGATTGTTTCCTTTGCTGTACAGAAGCTTCTTACTTTGATGTAGTCCCGTTTGTTAATTTTGGCTTTGACTGCCTGTGCTTTTGTGTCTTTTCCTTAGACAAGTCTTTCCATGTTCCTATATCTTGGAGTGTGCTTCCTATGTTTTCCTTCAATAGTTTGATAGTTTGTAGGTGTAGATTTAGGTCCTTGATCCATTTAGAGTAGATGTTTGTATAATGTGACAGGTGTGAGTCTTGCTTCTTAATTTTGCAAACTGCTACCCAGTTGTCCCAACAGCATTAGTTGAATAAGCCAGGCTTTTTGCCTGAATTGTTTTCAGTTTTGTTGTCAAGGAATAGTTGGCTATACATGTGTGGGCTCCCTCCTGGCGTTTCTACTCTGTTCTATTGTTCTTCTCTTTCTGTACCAGTACCAAACTATTTTGACAACTCCTGCTATGTAGTATGTCTTGTGGTTTGGAATTGCAATTCCTCCAGCTTCATTTCTATTTTTCAGGATAGCTTTAGCTATTCATGGTCATTTGTGATTCCAGATAAACTTTTGTATCATCACTTTTATTTCTGAGAAGAATGTTGTTGGGATTTTGATTGGGATTGCATTAAATCTGTATATTATTTTTGGTAATATGGTCATTTTGATGATGTTGATCCTTCTAATTTAGGAGCATGATAAGTTTCTCCAGTTATCAAGGTCTTCTTCTAATTCCTTTAAAAAAATGTCTCATAGTTTTCATCATAGAGACCTTTCACATATTTAGTTAGCTTAATCTCTAGGTATTTAAGATTCCTCTCCTCTATCTTAAAAGGGACTGTACTTAAAAATTCTTTCTTATCCATGGAATTATTTGTGTACACTAGTGCCATTGACTTGTGTTCATTAATTTTGCCTCCTGCTACCCTGCCAAAGTCTCTTATGAGTTCCAATAGTCTCTTGACCGAGTCTTTTGGTTCTCCTAACTTGAGAATCGTGTCATCTGCAAATACGGATAATTTCATTTCCTCATTTCCAATTTGGAGTCATTTAAATCCTTTTTCTTGCCTAATAGCTCTGCTAAGGACTTCCAATACTATATTAAAGAGTAGTGGTGACAGTGAACATCCCTGTCTAGTTCCAGATTTTAGTGGGAAGCCTTCGAGTCTTTCTCCATTTATTATGATGCTGGCATTGGATTTTTTGTAAATTGCTTTGATTGTGTTACAGAATGTTTCTTCTATGCCTATCTTGCTTAGGATTTTCAGTATGAAGTGTTGTTGGATTTTATCAAATACCTTCTCTGCATCAGTTGAGAGGATCATATGGTTTTTATTTTTCAATTTGTTGATGTGATATATCACACTTTTTGATTTGCAAATTGTGAACCATCCCTGCATGCCTGGTGCAGGTGAATGATCTGCCTGATGTGTTGTTAGATCCTATTGGCTTGTATTTTATTGAGGATCTTTGCATCTATGTTCATCAAGGACATTATTCTGTAGTTCTCTTTTCTGTTGTTTCTCTGTCTGGCTCTGTTATTAAGGTAATATTAGCTCCATAAAAAGAATTTGGAAGAATTGCCTCTCTTTCTATTTTTTGATAAAGGATGTGAAGAATTGGGGTAAGTTCCTCATGAAATGTTTGGTAGAATTCAGCAGTGAAGCCATCTGGTCCAGAACTCTTCTTGGTTGGGAGAGCTTTAATTACTGATTTAATCTCAGTGCATGTTATTGGTTTATTTAGACTGCTAATTGCTTCTTGATTCAATTTGGTGGATTGTAGTATCCAAAAATCTGTCCATCTCTTCTAGGTCTTCTGATTTGTTCACATATAGTTGCTTGTAATAGTTCCTGATGATTCTTTGTATTTCTGAGGTATCTGTTGTTATATCTCCTTTTTTGTCTCTGATGCTATTGATGTGTATTTTCCCCCTCCTTTTTTTGATTAGTTGGGCTAGTGGGGAGTCACTTTTGTCAATTTTCTCAAAGAGCCCGTTCTTTGATTGATCTTATGTGTAGTTCTCTTAGTCTCTATTTGGTTTATTTCCTCCCTCATTTTGACTATTTCTTTTTTCCTACTAATCTTGGGGTTGCTTTGCTGTTGCTTTTCTAGTTCCTTCAGCTGTAAGGTTAGCTGATTTACTTGACGCTTTTCTAGTTTCTTGACTTAAGCACTGATTGAAATGAATTTTCCTCTTAGCACCACCTTGATTATGTTCCATGAATTTTGATATGTTGTTTGATGCTTTCATTTGTTTCAAGCAATTTTAAAATTTCCCCTTTGATGTCCTCACTAACCCATTGCTCATTTAGTGACATATTATTCAATCTCCCGTGTTTGCAAGTCTTCCTTGGTGTTTTGACTTCTTGGTCTCTAGCTTCACTCCATGATGGTCTGAGAAGATGCATGGTATGATTTCAACTTTTTAAAAATTGCTGAGGCTTGTTTTGTGGCCTATAACATGATCAATTCTGGAGAAGGTTCCACATACTGATGAAAAAAAAGTGTGTTCTCTGTTTGTAGGATGAAAGGTTTGATAGATGTCAACAAAGTCCATTTGCTCTATAGTTTGGGTGAGTTCTATTGTTTGCTGATTTTTTTGTTTTTTGATCTGTCTATTGATGTTAATGGGGTATTAAGGTCTCCTAGTATGATCGTATTGGAGTCTATGTCTCCCTTTAAATCGTTAATATTTGTTTCATGTAGCCAGATGCTTTGGCATTTCGTGCATATTCATTTATTATTGTGATCTCTTCTTGCTGAATGGATCCATTGATCAGTATGTAGTATCCTTCTTCGTCTCTTTTGATGCTCATCGCATCAAAGGCTATATCATCTGATGTAAGAATGGCTATACCTGAACATTTTTCCTTACCATTTGCTT